AATTTTGGCGGGATTGGTGCGCCTTTGGTGACTCAACATTCGACTTGGAGATTCAAACTTCATCTTTCGCTGACAGCCCATGTGTCAAGATCATTATTGGCATGTTAACATGAATGTTGATGGATAAAGTTGAACGTTGAACTGTCACTTTGAAAGTTGATGTTTAAAGTTTCAATGATTGTGATACAAAGTACAAAGTTGARGARTGAAATATGATGTTGATGTTTGCCAAGTTAATTGTTAGACTGTCAAGTTGAATGTTGTGATCAACTTTGATTTTTGGCGGGGATGGAACTCCATAGACATTTCGCCTCTTTGTCCTTCTTTTTATGATGGTTTAGACAGTGATTACATCGTAGATCAATTATCACGCGGTTCAGTTTATGTAGCTAAGGCAAAGTGCTAAACATGGCGCACGAAAAACTAGGGGAGGGGCGTGGCAACAGTTCACACCACAACCTCGTTCCCAGGGTCTTTTCCCTGGCTTCGGGGTGGAGAAAAGACCCTGGGAACGAGGTTGAGTTGTCCCGGTTAGGCAAGTCAAAGCGTTTATATGAAGAAAAGTTGTCCCGCTTGCCGTGTTACCCAGCCGACCTGCCGAGGCGAGACAACTCGCCCACTCGAGTTGTCTCGCCCCCCGAGACGGGTTCGTAATCCAAATGTAAACGGTTGGTTGATTTTGGAAAAAAATAAGCTAAAAGTTGCCTCGGCAGAGTAACTCAGAGGGAGGGTTGCCTCGGGTACCTGAGACCATGTAAATGCGGCCTGAAATAGACGAATATTTGAAAACATTCAAGAAAAGTGGAAAACACTTGCCTGCGGCTCGTGTTTTCTACATTTCCCTCGTGTTCTCAAATGCCCGTCGTGTTTTATCACAATGTAATACACGGCTTGGGCTTCTTTATTTGTTAAATATCCAACGCGCGCTTGTGGAATAATTGTTAATAAAACCTCTCTTCATTGTTGTTGTTATCGAATGCTACCGATAAGCTCAGTCAATCGCATCAAAAGAATTTCCGTAAATCCATGGAGCCGATCAAATACAAGGCAAATAAATAGGCCAAATGAGAGCGCTATTCCTTTCGAATCATTTTAACCCATTGGAACAATTTATCGATTGATAAACTTGGGATACCGAATTTTATCGATTAGTTACTCTGGCAACGGTGAGCTTTTTGCTTGTAAACCAAGCGTTAATAGGCCATTTCCGAGTTACCTTGTGTCTCTGTATGGAACTGAACGGGTCTTCGAGCGAAACCATTCATATAAAAAATGCGTTTCGCCTACAGATTCAATTTCATGCAAATCAAACTCATTTTCACATCAAAGGTTTTGCTCGAAGACTCGTTTTAAAAAAAAAAACACAAGGTACTCGGAAATGCATGGCCTATTGGTATGGGTTTTAGCATAAAAAGCCGGGATGAAAAGCTCACTTTGCTTCTTTTTAAGGATTGACTTTTGACATAATGAAAGCTGACAAAGATCTTTTGAAAAACACAGGTGTTTGACGTTACTGTTGAAAATTCGCCTCCGTGGGAATGCTTCATGGCTTCTTCAAAATCCAGCTCTTTAGGAATAGCNAATCGGAGTTGCACGAATAATTCATACATAACATTTTCATCGCAGCCCTCTCAAACTTTGGAATTGCCTATTTCAAACACAATATAATGTTATTTCTGACGAATGAGCTTGGGAAGAAGGCAGTAATAAGTATTTTTCCGGCACGGGACACAACGCGGCCTGGGCTCCAGGCCGGTGCATCATGGATAGAAAGAAAGGGGATATGTAAGGGGAAGTGTAGCACGTGATGGTCATCTAGGCCTCTGAATCAACCCTGTTCAGAACTCCGTTCAATTTTTTCATTTTAGTTTTTCAGGTATTTTTACCGCACTATGGACAGTCCTACCTTTGTAAAGCCTCCGTAGGAAAGGCTACCAATCGCCGGAGCATGAAAAATGGTTCCTACCCAGATTTCCTGCTTTTTTTCCCGAGGGGATTGATACGAAGAGGATTTTTCTGGCCTCCCTTCTAATCGCACTTCTATTGTGAGCGGTTGCTCAGCTCCGTTATTATTATCTTCTTTTGTATTAGCGTTCTTTACTTGTATTTTTTCTACTCTATTTAAATGGTATGACATATTTATATTTTGGGTTTTTGGTCCAAAGTAGTGGACACCCCAGCCTAACGTGAATGACATGTTTGTACATGGGGATTTTCGTCCAAAGTAGTGGACACCCCAGCCTAACTTGCATGATGTGTTTGTATATCACGATCTGTAAGTTTAAACACGTTATATTTGTGTACGCTGAAGATTTTGGTCCAAAGTAGTGGACACTCTAGCCATAATGGCAGTCAGATGTGAAGCTCGTTTAGCTTCCGTTATGTTCGTGCAAGTCCTACGTGTACATGTAATATGCTCGTCAAAATACATATTGTATTCACATCTACTTTAAAGATGGGCTTTTTACAAGAATCCACAAGGACGAATTGAACAAGTGGTCGGCGATAGGAGTTTATACCCGTCAACGAACAGTTATTGAATGAGTTATGTAGATTCGTATTCATGTAGTTGCTATAACGTAGTTTGGGTTGGTTCTTGCCAGGCCCTCCCCAAATAAACTTATCTGTCTATTAACTGTGTGTTCATTCGTTGTGAGGTGGAGGCAAAATTTTAAATTACATCTACGCCGAAAAGATATTTTGCTTCATATGCACTTTAAACATCAGGACTTAACGTCTTGCCAGTTGATCTGTAACCTGCTTTATCTGTAACCTGTAACCTGTAACCTAACCTCCTCGATGTTAGCAATCATAGGTAGACGATAGTTACAGAATAGCCTTCAACACAAAAGTAAGTTAAGATGGTTCAAAACAGTCTCCAGCAATTAGATTTTGATGGGTCATTATAACTACTCTTTATCACTTGATGCTACAGT